GGTGTATCTTCAGTCAGATCTGAGTCAGGACCTCAGATATCCTTCTTTTTAAGGTGACTTTACATAATTCGGTTTCGGTCCTTTTTAGTGTAGATTCCGAATGTTGGATGGTGTCCCGCTGTCCTGCCCGCTTATCACGCATCCCCACTCATGCTACTGCATCCATCAGGAAATCTGTGTTGTGGTTCATTTCCATCATAACATCTTTTGGTTATTTATGATATTCCTAATTGTATTTTTGGATGACAGGATTTATTTACCTTTCTCTTCTCTTCTAAAAAAAGTCCTCAGTGATGTGCAGTTATCAGAAAATTGCATTGACTTGTTTTTGTGTGTCTTTGCTCACACCCACATACTCCTTCCCTCCCTCCCAGGAACAACACATTTGTTATGATTTGGGTCGAGCATGGGAGTCCACCTCTGGATTACGCACTCGGGTGCAAGGTAATAGTGTTAAGGAAAGAGCAGGGGTTCATTTCGGGCAGTCGGCCTTGGCCTGCGTTTCATCCACGCCTTTCACTTTCCCTTTAGTGCCTCGAAATCTCCAGTCCTTAATCCGAGCTGCCCAGGAAGGCTCCCCTGCCCTTGGCTTCAGCCAGACTCACAAATGAAACCCACAGTGGGTCACTCTCACTGTTTTCCTCCAGCTGCCCCATGGCCAGAATTTGTGGGAGGATCTGAAAGTGTAGCGACAGTGTGTCCATTCGCAAATAGGAATGGAAACTGGGCCCAGGAGGCCAGGCCCTGCCCCTGTCAGGACAGGCACAGCAGTCCCTTCCCAATCCCCTCCCTTCCTGACCCCGTGAAAATCTCCATTAGAGGCCTTTTCTTAGAGGGGTTGAATCCTATGCTGATTCTCCCCAAGGCTTCTCCTGCCAGGAACCTTGATTGACCCCAGAAGGGACCACTGTCAGACACCCTGCATGCCCCAAACTCAAAGCAAATAAGCCTGAATTATACAGGTAGTGTAAAGCTCACAAGGAAAGCATGCGTGCCTCGCCTCTCCCTCGCTGCCCCTGTGTTCGGGGTTCACAACTTGTCCCTGGCCAGAAAGCCTTCGGACCCTCTTTCTGAACAAAAGCATTCCTTATCCAAGATAAGGGCGTGATAAAAACCGAGCTCTTGAGCATATTTTGATTCTTGCTTGAAACAAAGATCAAGATGAAAAGGACGCATTTCATGAATCTTCAGCCTCTTAAGGTTGATTCCTAGCCAAGTTCACCCCAAGTGTTCTCCTTTAGGTGTCTAAAGGTAATAAATATAGCAAACTGGAAATATACCAAAAACACAGCTAAGACCAAAAAAATCCCCTGCAACAGTCTTTTCCCCACACAAATAGGTGATTATAAGAAGAAATGTGATTTAATTTCAGATCCATTGGTAAAATTATAATTATGACAGAAGAAAGGAGGACTCCTCGATATTACTTATGCATGCAAAGGATAATATTTGAATTGTGTAGAAAAAATTGCAAAGAGGGATTAATGGCCCAAAATGGATGTAAACGGTATAGGAGAAAATTTAGTTTCTCTAATAAGTTTTACTTTCCTGTCCTTAGACAAATTACTTCTCAAATACTGAAACATCTTTCAAGTGAGAACAGTGAACCGCTATTTGAAAAATCTTGAGGAATCTGAAACATAAAGCAGCTAAATGGGTGTCAGCATCAGAGATAATTTCCATACAATCTGAGCCCACTGAAATCTCAGGAAGTAATGAGCAACCCAGCATTTGCACTATATGTACCAGAATTTGAATTACAAGAGCTGTTTTGGCTTGCTGACCCTTGAAATAACTTATAATGTCTGTGAAGATTTTGAACAATCTCTCAGCTATTGCACAATGACTGAACATTTATAAAGACAAATAGATTTAACAAACACCTAGATTCTCTAAGTAAATGTATGTCACTCTCTGCTGTGCGCGTTACGTCCCAGAGCACTTAGGAATAAATGTTAAAGAATTTGCCATGACTTGGTCTAAGTGGTCCCATGTTCTTTTTCTAGAGGTTCACAAAGGGTCTTTTGAACAGTCCATTCTAGAATCTTTTCCTGAGATGAGGTCAAACTTAAAGGTGTATGATTTGCAGAAACTTAAACGTGGAGTGGCATTTGCTTGTCTGAACACATTCGGCATCTCCGGGCTCTAAGATTCCTCGCTGTCAACGTGTCAATTTCTAACCCCCAGAAACAGTGAGAAAACAAATGTTTGTTGTTTTTAGCCACTAAGCTTTGGGGTCATTTGTTATGCGGCAATAGATAGCTAATATAATGAAACAGATCCATGTAGCAAAGTGCAATTTAAAATTATATTCTTAATTCTTAACAATCAATAACTCATTATATTAATTGCAAAGCTTGACTAATTATTATTACTATAAATCTTAATTCTTAATAAAAATTTTCTTAAAGCAATAATAAAGGAAAAAAGTAAATTTTATAATTTTACATTATATATAAATTCTTAAATTTCCAAACCCTAATACTACTCATATTGTTTGAATACTTTATAAATAGTACGTACTCATTGTTTGTGTTTTTATCTAATGGAACAGTATATCTGAGAAGGGAGGAAGATAAATGGCACTGGATAGGGTACCAAAGGGACTTCAACTTCATCAATATGTCTTATTTCAATGACCTTCCTAAAGACCCAAAGCAGGTATAAGAAAATGTCAATTCTGGGTGGTGGGGTTTGTCGTATTTTTCTCAAAACTTTCCTGTATTTTTAAAATTGCTCCCTACCCAGGACATAAGTGTAAGTGAAGACTTAGTTATGAGCATGTCCAGGCTCAGCGGAATAGTTTTTATAATGGGAGGTTCAGATGTTTCATGGACAAGTTCTAGCAAACCTAAAAGGAGCTCATAAAGGCTCTGCTATTAGACTGTTGCCAAACATAGGAAAGATGCAGGCTTCCCAGCACACCTCTCACACCTGACATGTTTAAAACGTGCAGCTTGCGTGTTGGCGGATGGCCAGTGGGCAACATTTGCCAATACAGCAGGGCAATCCACAACTGGGAAATGAAAAGAAAAAGGCTTAGATGGGTCGAAAAGCTAGTGCAAAGTATCCCGAGAATTCTCGTATTAAGAAGCAAATTATTTAAGGAGATGTAACTCCTCCACCTTGCAGTGTAAGGAGCAGTGTTGAAAATTCTATTCAGGACTGAGGTGAGATGCTTCCCACTCCCCGGAGCCTCATCCTTCCTCTGGCATTTCTGAAATCTCCCTGGAAGATGTGGGAGTGAAAATTTAAATAGGGTGTGCATTGAAGTGTCATTTCTGGAAGACATTCCATCCATGGTCATTCTTTTGAGATACCAAGGTCCCTCTCTCCCTTTCTTCCTCTTTTTAACTTTCTTTTTGGGCTTCAGGCTTCAGTTGCAAATAACTGAGTCCATTGTATCCCTTGAGTGGCATGTTATCATTTTTGGTCCTTGCAAGGTCCCTCTCTCATTTATGTTTTTCTTTATGTACTTATAAATTAATTAATTCCTGTTCTCCTGCACCACTCTCTTCCAATATTTTATCCTGTTTAATGCACATTCTTCAGCAAATAGCCTTCAGATTTCATCTTCATCATTGGCTCTCCCAGCTCTCCAGCTGGCAGGCCCACGTTGCAGATCACAGATTGGACTTGCCAGTCTCCATAATCTCGTGATCCTTTTAGATAGATAGATGATAGATAGATAAGTAAATCAATAAAATATTTAAAACATATACATTATTTTCCCTCTGGAGAACCAGACTAATACAATGCCCATGGAAGGAATCGCCCCTTAGTGTCTCCTGCTCTCCTAGTGGTCGACCCCAGACTTCCTTTAAAATCCAGTAATCACAGAAATGGCACAGTGCAGCTCCCCCTATGGGCCTGTGTGAGAATGTTTTGGGCCTCGGACCTACATCACTTTGCAGACTCAGTGCCCTTGATTAATGAGGAGGCCAGAGCCCCTTGAGGAAGGGCTCTGCACTGGTGCTACAAGTGCACATTGCACCTCTTCAACTAAGCTTTCCCCCAAAGAAACCAACCCAACCATTTTAAAAAGGCTTAGATTCAATAGTTACACATGAGAAATATGCAACTTGGTCAGAAGTTCCCTGAGACTAATCATTTTTAAAACTGCCTCTTAAACTGTCAAAAACATATCAAACAATTGCCGAAAGTAAAGAGTTTTTTATTTTATTTAAATTGGCGATTAGGTGAATTGATCCTTTGAACCAGTTTTAAGTGAATAACCCTTAGCTGTTTTCAATGGCTGAAACCTCATGTTTATTTTAATCTGTGGCTTCCCTGGACCATTTCTGTCTTTGGTTTCTCAATTCTGTTGACTATGGGGAAACTGAGGCCACTCAACTCAGAAGAGCTCTTGGTGGTATAAAGGTAGGAAGCCAGGGAATCGTTGTCTTTACTCCCGTCCAGCTCGAGCAGCTGCGGTCCTAGACACCAGCTGCCCATGCAGACCAAATGCAGACCACTGACTCGGAGGCCCGAGGCCATCGTGGTCACAGGTGCCCGGAAGGAAATCTATGAAGCGGTGTATTGAAGGGAAAGAAAGCTGTCCGAGAGTCCTCTTCATTATGCTAACCAGTCCCATTTCAATTAGCAGCTGGCAGCAAAGGAGTCTTTTTAAAGGCTGGGCAGCATCAAAAGAAAAACCGGAAAGAAGGATTGCTGAAGTGAAATGAACTGACATCAGGAAATGCAAGCTGCAGAGCGGACCGTGCTCCTGAAAGCTTCTCCTTGGCTAAGAAGGATCTCTCAGCGCTGGACAAGTTCCCTCACCAGTCCCTGGAGAGAATGAGGCTGGACTGGGAGTAACAGCACGCAGGCAGCATCTGTGCTTGGCCGGAAGCAGGCACCACGGGATGGCTAGACACCTGCAGACGGCCGCAGACCTCAGAGGAGGTACAAAGAGTGTCCCATCAACCCAGGGTTGCCCTACAGGGTTGGCAGGAAGTCGGCGAGCAGGGGCTGGCTCTGCAGAGATGCGAAGGAGCTGGTCAGAAGCAGTTGGAGTCACCACTGGACGATTTGCCTAAACCTGTCACACAGCAGGCTGTTTGGAAGGAAGGGGATTTGCAGCCACTTTGGTTGCAGGAAGTGGGTCCTCCACAAGTTGGTTGGCCAGAAAGCATGGTGCCCCAGGAAGCTGGTTTGCAAGAGTTCTTTACAAAACAAGGGGGCTGGCAAGTAGCCACTGGCTGACAGATGAAGGGTATGGAAGGAGCTGCCTGGCAGTGCAGTGGCTGGCAAGGGGAGGTCACACAGCAAGTAGGATTGCAAGAATTGAACACACAGGTCGATGGCTGGCAGGGGATAGGCATGCAGGGAACTGATTGGCAAGTCTTGAAAACATAGCAGATGGGCTGGTAAGTTGCTTTCCAGGGCCGATCTTCACCACGAACGGGGTGACATGAACCTGCTTGGCAACAAATTGGCTGGCATGGCCTAGCTGCATAACTGATTGGTGGGCAAGATGTTTCAGGACAGGAAGTCACCTCAGAGCAAGACGGCTGGCAGGACCTAGTGTCACAGGAGACTGGTTGGCGACAAGCTGCCTGGTGCGATCTGGACATGAAGACAGCTTCCTGGCAGGAGCTCTGTTGACTGGGGCTGGCTTCCCAGCACTTTTCCTGACCACCGGTGGATTCCAAGCAGGAGGGCTGGCAGGAGCTAACCAGGCAAGGAGACTGACCCATGCTGGGTTCACAGCAGGCTGTGCAGGAGCAAATGGGTTGGCAAGCAAAACCCACACAAGAAGTTGCTGGAAGGCAGGTAGGTTGGCAAGGAGCCGGTTCACAGCCACCTGGGACACCGCTGGATGGCTGACAGTTTCCTTGGCATGTGACCAGTTGCCATGTTCTGCTCCAGCAGGAACTAGGCAAAAGGATACCATTCTGGAAGTGGTCACCCTTTGGGTACATGGAGATGGTGGGCACAGCTGGAATGGCCGTGGCGTTTCCAGGACAACAGTTGTCCGCCATGGTGCTGATTTGGCTGGGGAGTTACAAACTCAGTCTAGCTGAGTTTGAAAGACATCGGATGCACAGGGGCCTTTATAGTCCTTCACTCAGGGTGTTGGCTCGACATAGAGCATCTTTCCTTGTTGTTGTTTCTACTGGTTTGCAGACAAACATCTGATTAGCAGGCTTCAGGAGCCTGGGAGATGTTGTCCCTGCTTTTAAAACTTGTCTGTTGAGTGGGGAGTTTTCTTTGCTAAGTTTGGATTCCTTGACACTGCTCCTGCTCTGGGATGAGCTGTCGCTTTTACAGGTTGTTCCGCAGCCTCCCTGAAGCAGACGTTTCCCGGCACTAACCGCTCATCTGGAGGCCGTGGCCCAGCCAAGCAGCATCTCTTCCACCAGGAATGCAGCCCTGCACCATCCAATCAGGAAACGGGGCCCTGACCCAGTTCAGGGAGGGTGATGTCAGAAGTGGCGAACCGAAACTCAGGGGGTGCATCCCAAGGACATTCTTTCTAGAACCTTCCCGTCTAGTTTTCCTGAAACTCAACTTGGCTAGTACCAATTATGATAGTAACGGCTTCCATTTATCACGTACTTACTCTGTACCAAGTCCTCAGCTGCATTTTTCAGGAAATCTTTGCAGTGACCTCAGTTAGTAGGTGTAATTGTCACCACCATGCTGGGGGTGGCAAAACTAATTCAGAATTTAAATCACATTTCCAAAATTAGGCAAGTAATAAAGGGTAGAAATAAGATTTACCCCTAGGTTGGGCTGACCCCAAAACCTCTGGCATTAACCACCTATTACATCTCCAGACTTTGGAGGGGGCGAGGGGCAGACTCTTAACAGTGATTGAAGGCCACTCACAGTCAGGTGGCCTAGGCCCCAAGCTAGGGGTCATGTGCCCACTCTGGTGACTATAATCATCAGCTAGATCAAACTGGTGTGAGTACCTACCTCTGCTTATCAGTATACCCAAAGACAATCTTTTAATTTGGAAATTTAAAACTGCCAAATGTTTCATCAAGAAAAGTTAATTAAACTCACACTATGAAGTCAAAGAATATGAGTTCTATAAATATAAAAACGCAACCACCAGAAGTGACATGAGGACATCGCTGCAAAGTCATGTTAGTGTACCACCTCTTCCAAGAGGGATTTGCAAGGCGCTTTTCTGATTCTTCTTCTTCCTCTGGGCTGGTCCCAGCTCTGCCTCGCCTGCCAACTCCAGCGTCCCACACTGGTCCGCGTCCTGACCTAGTTCACAGTGGAGATACCCGTTGGCATGGAAAGACCACGGCTTTGGAGGCAGACAGGATGGCTCTCAACTTCCAGATCTGCTGCAAACTCGCTCTGTTGGGCCTCTTAGCTCATGGCCCCATGTTCAAAGTACCAAGAGCTCATCAGCTGCATTGCTGTTACTTAGGTTACTTTGGTCCTTACTGACTGCCTCACAATAATGGAAAGTGCTGGAAATCCTGGAAGATACTTTTCAAAGAACCAGCTACAAAATGCCGTCGCCTTATACCCCACTCCAGCCTTGTACCCCCTCCCATCCTCATTTGGAAAAGAGAAGTTTTTCTGATTGAATGATGCCTGGAGAACTCTCCCCCCCATGTGGTTAAAATGCCTTTCCTCTGCCATTCCTTCTTCTGTCACAGCATCAATCACTTCTTTTGCCCTTATCTCATCGCCATTCATTTCCATATCTTGAAAGCTACAAGGGTCCCTGAAGGATGTTTTAATCCTGAATGTCCACATCCCAGAGCTCTCATCTACCAAGAGGAAATACTTTTGGTCTTAACCAAGAAAGTCAATCAAAATGGAATTTAAATATATTTGAGAAACCATGTCAACTTCCATCTGAAAAAGATGCCAATATCCTGTACCCATATGTACTGCTCTTACTGTTTAAAAAAAATCCATTTTACATTCATTTTTCTCTGATTCTTCTCTTGCCTCCTTTCCTCTTAAAGAAACCTTTCGAGAGGTTGGTAAAGGGTACAAATTTATAGGATAAGTTCTCAAGGTCTAATGGCAATACCATGGTGACTATAGTTGATAACCCTGTATTGTATAATCAAAATTTGCTAAGAGAACTTAAATGTTCTCATCAAAAATGATAAATACGTGAGGTGATGGATATGTTAATTAATTAGATGGGAGAAATCCTTTCCCTATATATATATATCAAATCATCATACTGTACACTTTCAACAGCTTACAACTTTATTTGTCAATTATACCTCAATGAAGCTGAAAAAAAGAAACTTCTCAATAAAGACAACTTTCATTTTGCTGTGGTTCAGGGCACTCAGGACATTGAGTGTATCACCAAGGGCTGTTGTGATCACATCAAGAAATATGACAATACATACAAAACACAGGCTTTGGACAGACTGGGTTTTAGTCATTTGTATGTTACCAGCTGTGACTATCCTGAATTTTGTGTTTATTATCCTCTTGTGGATATAGATATGAAATGTATCTTATATATGTAATATAATGTATATGTTTGTATATATGTATACATGCATGTGTATTTATACATGTAAATGCACATATGTGTGTGTTGTTTTTAAACTTTAGGTACATGTGTGCTCTCTGAGGCTTGTTTATATCCACATTTCATTGGTGAAATGTTGGATGTAGCCATTCACTTATGTTACATCTAGCCATTGTCCAGTCATTTTCCCCTGCAGCATGATAATCTGTTGCATGACTATACCACTGTTTTCTTGTCTCTGTTGATAGGTGCTTAAATTGTCTGTCCTTTGTATTCTATAAAATAGGAGAGAAGAAATCTCCTCACAGAATAACTCTGATTTATATGAAACACTGAGTCCGTGCTTGGCACAGATATTTAAAATCTAGCCAACTCCTCTCTTGACTCTGAAAGGAGACAGTGATAAATTCCAATAGCCTAATGAGACAGCAACTCCAATACCAGTGGCAGGATAAGTTTTACTTTTGACTTTCTCCCTCTGCCATTGTCTAACCCAGTGGTTCTCAAACAGGGGTAATTTTTGCTCACATGCTCCCTTCCAGGGGATGTTTGGCAATGTCTGGAGACATTTTGGTCATCACAATTTGGGGGCACTACTGGCATCTAATTGGTAAAGGTCAGGGATGCTGCTTAGCATTGTACAATGCATAGGAAAGCCCCACAACAAAGAATGATCCAGCCCAAAATGTCAGTAGTGCCAAAGTTGAGAGCCTTGGTCTACCCTCTCCTGTGCTTAGGATAGCCCAAGCTGCACCTTGAGGACAAGGAATAGCCCTTTGTTCTGTGTACTAAGTGTAAGGGGTGACTTTGAAGAGACTCTGTTTTTAGAGATGATAAGAGGCTATGTATGGAGTTTACACAAAGAATGTGTCTTATAGGACTAGGAGAACATAAGCAAAGCTCTTGCACAAGAAATTCAGGCTACATTTCTTATTGTAAGTATGACCTGCCACACACACTTGTTTTCATTCCACTGGGAATCCCAAAGCCACTGGCTTCCTCCCCAGTCTCCCTATATCTAAGAGCATATTCCTCCATGCAGTTGTCAACACCAAGGTCAGAGGGACATTCCAAACCACAATGCCGTTCACATCACTGCCCTGCATACAGCTCCTTGATGCCTTCAGTGTCAGCCCTGCACCAAATTCAAATGCCTCTGTCCAGCATACAAGGGCTGAAAAGGAAAGCTCACTGTCTGCTTATCTGGCCTCAGAGCTCACCCGTCCTCTTAACACATTTTGCCCAGGCCTCGCCTAGGGACCAGTGTACTCACATGCACATTCATTTGTATATGTTTCCTCTGCCTGGAAAACTCTTTCTTCCTGGTTTCTAATTGCTTAATTCCTGCTTGTGCTGAAAGACAAGGCTTCAGTATCACAGCCCCCAATAATCCTTCCCTGGTTCCCCCTTACACTCTGCTGAGTTCACAGTGCCTGTGCTCACCTCTATCCCAGGACTCAGCACAATGGAGTATAGCTAATTGTTTCTCTGTCCATCTGTTTCCCAACTAGAGTGAGCTCCCTCTGAGAGCAGGGACTGAGACTTTGTCTTCTCAATCCTAGAGCCTAACCTGGTCCCTGGCACCTAACAGCATCTAATGAAGCTTGTGGGATGGATGAAGGCATGAATGAAGCCATCTCAAAACTGACACAAGTCCGCTGATGAGATACAGCATTAACAAGAGAGCAGTGGAAACAGCGTGTCACTTCAACTCAGCCATGTTTATTGGACAGTGAAACATCTTATCTCATTGGAGAGGTCCCCAAAGGACATGAGCACACACAGCCAGGGAGCACATGCATGAGAACTGACAAACGTCTATGCCAGGAAAGAGACTTGAGGTGATGTGGCAAAGCTTGATGACAGCAGCAGACAGGAACCCAGAATGTCCTCTTCTTAGTGCTCAGAAGGCCTTCACTTGGACCATTAAGATACTGTCATTTCTGATGAGTTCTGTGGAGCATAAGCAGATAGCGAGTGATGCTGCAGAAAGAAAAAGATTCTAGCTAAGTCAGGATGTGCTCTGGGGAGGGCAGTCACGTGTTCTTTCTAGTCAGAGGTTTGCTTTGCAGGAATTGGTGGGCTGAGGTCACTTCAGCAGTTGGCAGGCTTGGTGGCAGCGGGCTGGCTGGCTGTGGCCTCGCGGGTGGTTGGGCTGGTGGATTTGATCTCAGTGGGCTGGCAGGGATTGGAATCTGAGATTTCCGTCTTGCAGGGAGTTGAGTCGGCACAATCCGGTTGGCTGGAAGTGGGCTTTTTGCAATCCCGTTTGCAGGAGTTAGCACAAGACAGGTAGGAGCTCACCGGGCGGTAGGAGATTGAAGTGAGATAGGCCGGGCGGCGCAGGATGGAGTAACAAGGGCGGTAGCAGGTGGGGCGGTAGGAGATGGACGTCACATAGGGCTGCCTGTAGGTGAGGGGTCCGGAGTAGATTGAGCGGTAAATTGGGCGGTAGGGAACCGAAGTCACGCAAGGCTGTTTGCAGGAGCTGGGTATGTAGAAAGACCGAGAGCAAGTTGGTTGGCAGGTAGCAGATGCCGAAGACCCCGGGCGGCAGCAGGGAGGCTGGCAGGAGGGGGGTGGGCAGGAAACAGGCTCACAGCAGATGGACTGACAGCGCTTGACTATGTAGCAGGTAGGTTGGCATGGACGGGGCACACAGACACTTGGTGAGCAGGGGCTGGGCTCAGAGCAGATGGGTTGGCAGATGCTGGAGACACAACAAGAGGGCTGTTGGCAAGTGCTAGAGACGCAAGGTGGTTCACAAGGGCTCGGAACACAGCAGACAGGGCGAAGGCAGACAGGCTCACAGACCAGAGCCACACAAGGAGATGGCTGGCAGATGCTGGGCCCCGAGCAAGATGGCTCACAAGGACTGGGGTCACAGCAAACAGCCTGGCAGCTACTGCCCACAGAGCACATGGAGGGACAGCAGCTGGGTGTGGGGCACACTGGCTGACAGCAAGCAGGCTCACAGACCACTGGTTGGCAGGAACTAGGCACAGTGCAGACAGCTGGGCAGCAGCTGGGCTCACAAATGACTGGTTGGCAGCAGCTGGGCTTGCAGATAATGGGCTGGCAGGAGGTGGGCACACAGAGGACTGATTGGCAGGAAGCAGCCTCGCAGCACACAGATGGGCAGCAGCTGCTCCCAGAGCAAGAAGGCTCACATATGGTGGCCTCGCAGCACACAGGTTGGCAGCAGCTGCTCACGGAACAGGAGGGCTCACACGTGGTGGCCTCGCAGCACACAGGTTGGCAGCAGCTGCTCACGGAACAGGAGGGCTCACACGTGGTGGCCTCGCAGCACACAGGTTGGCAGCAGCTGCTCACGGAACAGGAGGGCTCACACGTGGTGGCCTCGCAGCACACAGGTTGGCAGCAGCTGCTCACGGAACAGGAGGGCTCACACGTGGTGGCCTCGCAGCACACAGGTTGGCAGCAGCTGCTCACGGAACAGGAGGGCTCACACGTGGTGGCCTCGCAGCACACAGGTTGGCAGCAGCTGCTCACGGAACAGGAGGGCTCACACGTGGTGGCCTCGCAGCACACAGGTTGGCAGCAGCTGCTCACGGAACAGGAGGGCTCACACGTGGTGGCCTCGCAGCACACAGGTTGGCAGCAGCTGCTCACGGAACAGGAGGGCTCACACGTGGTGGCCTCGCAGCACACAGGTTGGCAGCAGCTGCTCACGGAACAGGAGGGCTCACACGTGGTGGCCTCGCAGCACACAGGTTGGCAGCAGCTGCTCACGGAACAGGAGGGCTCACACGTGGTGGCCTCGCAGCACACAGGTTGGCAGCAGCTGCTCACGGAACAGGAGGGCTCACACGTGGTGGCCTCGCAGCACACAGGTTGGCAGCAGCTGCTCACGGAACAGGAGGGCTCACACGTGGTGGCCTCGCAGCACACAGGTTGGCAGCAGCTGCTCACGGAACAGGAGGGCTCACACGTGGTGGCCTCGCAGCACACAGGTTGGCAGCAGCTGCTCACGGAACAGGAGGGCTCACACGTGGTGGCCTCGCAGCACACAGATGGGCAGCAGCTGCTCACGGAACAGGAGGGCTCAGAAGCGGTGGCCTCGCAGCACACAGGTTGGGTGCAGCTGATCACCGGACAGGAGGGCTGACAGCATTGTGGGCCACAGCTGGATGATCCGCAGTCATCTTGACAAGTCACCAGTTGCCACCTCTGGCTCTGGCAGGAACTAGGTAAGCAGATGGGTCCTCTGCAGCTCACCTCAGTGGAGCAGAGAGAGATGGCTGGCACGGAGGGGCATTTCCTAGAACAGCAATTTCCAGGCATGACGGAGGCGCCTCTGCTCCCTTGTGAGTGCTTTGAGGTTGCTGCCTGACTTGGGCAGCTCTCTCGGGGCCCTCACTTTTATACCCCTTCACGGCATATGCTGTGTTGAGCTCCTGCGTCTTTTCCTCATTGATGTTTGGGCCACTTTTCAGAGGAACATCTTATTATGCCAAGGTTTGTTGACCTGAGGTTGTTTATCTACCTATAAAGAAGCTGTTTGTTTATTGACTTGCTAAATTTGGAACCCTTGGACTTACAAGTCATCTTGGAATAAGCATCATGGCCTCCAAGCTGAACGATCTTTATTTCTGAGCATCATGAACAGGGGAAGAAGAAAGGAACTTACGATTTATCCACCTTCTGGTCCTCTGTACCAGGCCCTGGGCTGGGCACGGGGGTGCCCATGCAGAAGACCTACTCACTCATTCTCATGAATACCGCTCCCTGGTGGGCAGGCAAGTTTGTAGGCAAGCTCGTTGCAGCGCCGTGAGAAACTTAACAGACATACAGGAGCAGTGAGCGGGCCAGTGATGAGCTCTGTGGGAGAGGGGGTATCTGGACTGGATTTTAAATGACTGCGCTTTATAGCAATAATCTTATTTAAAACCATCAAGAATCCCATGACACAGGGAACCTTCATGCATTACAGATGAAGAAAAGGAAGGGGGATTGGAATCGAAAAGGTTGTCACTTGCTAAAGATCCCACATAGCTTGCCCCTCATCTGGAGCTGCTCCTCTTCCCCTTCCCCATCCTGCCTGGACAGACCTTTCTCAGGAGCCTTTGTCAAAGCCACACGTCACGGGCTTAGCCCATGGTGCTGTCCTTCGTCTGTTCTATGAGCAGCCCTGCCCCAGACCACTGGCTCTACCTGTCCCTGGAAGGTACCCGACCTAGCCACCCTGTTCCCTCTTTTCCCCACCTCAAGCATTCAGTAGATCTACAGAGTTCTTCTTGCATTTGGTGATTTTTTAAATTAAATTTATTGGAATAGCATTGGTTGATAACATAAATTTCAGATGTACAACCTTCTCATACGACATCTGTGTACTCTATTGAATTTGGTGATTTTAATAGCTCCTAAAACAAAGATACATCCAAGACCCAAAGGATAAAGAAGGAAGACGGGTTTTTTTACAAAGGCATTGTGAACAAAAGCAGAAAGCACAAATGCTTTCTCAAAGCATTGTGCCAATGCTATTGCTTGAGGTAGACATGAGGTGAGAAAGAAACCCTAGGTTTCCAAACACCAAGGCCTGATGCCCTGGCTCGCCGAGGCCACACCTTGCCTCCACTGTGTGTTTTCAACATTGACGCAAAAGGCAGCTTTGGAAACACTGAACCATTTTCCCATTCATTCACCATTCTTCTCTTCATTCATTCATTTATACGATCATTTGCTCAGTTTCCATTTTATCTGTCCATTCAGCCCAGCTGTCATTGGGTTCCATGTTATGATACAAAATGAATGAGCTGCAATCCCAGCCATAAGGGGCTAAAGTTTAGAAGAAAGTCAGATATGTCCACAAGCAATTATGGTCCAGTATACATGCAAGGGCTACAATACCTGGAGGCACAGGGTGCTAGGTGGGTACCCAGGAGGAACACCAAGGTGGTTTGGGGGACGTTAGGGAAGGCTTCTTAAGAGCATGATACATTTGGGGAGCAGCCGTTGGTTCCATAACCGGGCTGAAAAGTGCAAGGGGGCAGGAAAGGATCGCAATGGGTCTAGAGGGATGACTAGGCACTCGGTCATGAAAAGCCTGTGGACCACGGTGATAAGGTGGGTTTTATACTGACACCTGGGAATGTCAAGCAGGAGAGTCACTTGACCAGGTTTGCCCTTTGGGAAGGTCTCTCTGGCTTGTGGAAAAGGGATTGAAGGAGAAGGACAACTCTGGAAGTGAGCAGACCATTAGGGGTCTGGGGCAGTGACCCAAAAGCTTCATGGTGACAACATGAACCGGGTAGTGCCTTGGGGCTGGAGCCCTATGAGAAGATTTAAAGAGGCAGGGTCTACAGGACCCAGCAGCTGAAGGTGGAAGAGTAGGAATGGGGAGCGCCATCCTTTGATACATGGCTCTCAGGCCATAGAGGAAGAGAACTTTCAGAAAGCTTGGCAGAGGGTAAGGCAAGGAGAAGACCCCAAGACCCTGATCTCCACCTTTCCAGCTCTTCTCCTCTCCATTCACCTCCTTCTCAGCTAAACCAGCCATAAAACTCCAGATGCAGATGTCCCTCCTCCCCCCAAATCCCTCATAATCGCGCTCAGCTGAGGAACTTGCATAGCATCACCCATTATGCTAGACTGTCATCTCCTCGAAGGATCCCTCCCTGCTAAGTGGAATAAGCTGTTCTTTTAACTCTCAAGCCCATTTCCACTTGGGTTTTTTTGGGGGGTGGGATGGGGATTGTAGCTCTTGGCTCCCTTGACACTATATAGGAATCAGGAGGACAAGACTTTGGTTTATTTCCTGGTGTACACCCAGCACCCAGAGCAGTGTTTGATACATAGGCAGTTCACTATTGCTATTTGTTGAATGAGTGAAGGAGGACCTCCATGGACAACTAAGAAGGGCAATTCTCTGTCAGTAATTTAAAGAAATTACTACCTTCCACTCACCCCTCGTGAGGCCATGGTCATGAGCAATGAAAGGATCAGCCGCTCTTAATCACAGCTGATAAATGTAGGCCAGTTGACCCCTTGGCAACTTTGTCCCTTTGGCATGTTCCTGCTCTGACCGTGGCTTTGTCCTGGGGGTTAAAGAGCCAGTACTTAAGAGGCCAATTCCAGGCAGAGCAAAAAATGACCTAAATAGTAGCCTCTAAAACTGAACCAGGGCAGGGTCAAATCTCAAGTTCTCTCCCAAAGCAAGATACTGCCAATACTTCTGGGATTTTTAACACAATGAAAACACAAGGAGCTATCCCTAGACACTTGCCAGAATGACTAAAAATAAAAGAGACTGACAATATCAAGTGTTAGCAAGGACATGGGGCAACAGGAACTCCCAGACATACAAAATGGTACAGCCACTTTGCAAAACAGTGGGTAGTTCCTTATAACGTGAACCATTCACTTACCATTTACCCAGCAATCCAACACTACATATTTATCCAAAACAAATGAAGTTGTGTCCACACAAAAATTTGTACGTGAATGTTCATAACAGCTTTATTCGTAATAGCCAAGAACTGTAGATAGCCCAAATGCCCATCAGCAAATGAATATTTTAATGTACTTTATTCATATAATGTAGTTTATTCACTCAGGAAAAGGAATGAACTATTGATAGCTACAACAAAATGAACTAATATTAAGAATGCTATTCAAGGGGAAAAGCTCACAATATATGATTTTGTTTATATGAACTTCTAGAAATGGTGAAATTTAGAGTGGCATAAAGCAGATCAATGGTTGTCTGAGATTGGGGTCAGGTGGGGAGGATTGCCTGCAAAAGGGCATTGGGGAATTTGAGGGGTGATGGAAAGTTCTAGATCTTGAGTGCAGTAGTGGTTACTTGAATATATACATTTGACAAATCTCATCAAACTGTACACTAAAATGGGAGTAATTTATTATAAGTAAATTATATCTCAAAGTTAACATAAAAAATACTAAAAGCAGCATAATCCCAGTTTTATTTGTAAATATGCTTAGAGAGGAATCTGGAAAGCTACATGTTAGTAATGAACCCTGAGTGGTGAGAATTTGAATGGCTATTATTTCTTCTTTATATTTTCCTGTATTTTTTCATATTTTAGGAATCACTGCTATGCTTATAATCAGAAGAATATTTTTGTTTGTTGAATAAAACATTGCTTTGTAGGAATAAAAATAAATAATGTACTCCCAGGGCAAGAGCAGAACTAGTTTTATTCCCCATATAGGAGCTCAAGCTCACATCCAGCAAGAGGTTGAATTTACTACCTTTTGAATTGTAACATTCCAGCCGAACCCACACACACCTGGGTAGGGTCCCACTTAGCAGATGGATGATCACCCCTCCCATCCCTGGGCCTCAAGCAGAAGAAATACAGCTGGTTCTAGGACCCAAAAGCCTAACCCAGAAAAGGGAGACTTGGCCAAAGCCTGAGGCCGGAGGAAGGACCTGGACTTCCCAGAACATCCTTAGAACCTGTGTGTTGTTAAATTTTTACTACAGGAATTCCTTCCATTCAGAGCCAACCTTGTCTTACCAAGCCTTCTCCCCTGACTTTGCCAGAAAGCTCTGGCCAAACCTGAAGCCTCCAGCAGAACCATTCTAAGAGAAGCACAACGCAGGAGGAACCCATGCACCTCGCTCAAGGTTAAATTTGGCCAGCATCAGCATTTACCCAGGAGCTTCTAAAAATGCAGGTCCCAGGGCCTCCACTCTAGGGCTAATGGATAAAAGCTCTAGCAGCAAAGCCCAAGGATCTGTGCTTTTAACC